AGGCACAAGGAGAAAGTTAAGAATCATTACGTATACAGTCTTTCTTTGTATTTCTTGCAATTTTTCTGAGGAACATCATTTCTGCACACAGTTATACTTGAATTATTCTTCTTCAGAATTGCCTTCTAGCGTTCTGCTCCATGTAATAATATAGGCAGAATTATTGTTTTATAGATCATATTGGTATTTCTATTAATGTCGTTTTTGTCGGTTGATCCATTGTTGATTTGGTAGAAAAGCCCGATAGCTTTCCTTACTTGGTTTGAGATTTCTGGATCAATTCGAGTATCTCTGTTTATAAGTGTACCCAGATATTGGTAGGTAACCACGCATTCCATTATCACTCCATTGCAATTGATATTTAATACTTCTTAATTTCTCCCAATTTGCATTACTTTACCTTTTGTAGTATTTATATTCATCCCTTTTTGGATTAACTCCTCTCTCCATTCCATAACTGCTTGCTGTAGATTTTCTTAAGAGTTTGTTATTAGCACTAAGCCATCTGCAAATACAAATGCCTGTGTCAAAATAGGGAAGAGGTCCTATGCCCTGACAGTTGTCTGGAGAGTTCTTCTCTTGCAGATATTAAGAATCTCATCCATATATGTTATTAAGAGGAGGGGACTTAAGCTGTCACCTTGCTTGACACCCTTTTTAAAGGAGAAGAATCCGGACTCCTATCCACTAAGGTGGACCATCCCCTTAGGTTGCTGATAGGCTGACTTTATAGTCTCTATCAGATTAAGGGGTACTTTCTTTCTATGGATCGCATCTCAAATCTCTTAACATGAGACATTATCAAAGGCTGTCTTAAGGTCCAAGAAGGCAAGAAGAACCCAATAATCTAGAATCTAGAACCAGAATAAGCTGCTTTCTGACCTAAAAGACTGACAATGTATCACGTGTTCTCGTTAAGAATGATCATAGAAAAGGCTTGGGATTGAAGGATGAATATAATTAACTGCATAACAAAGTTTAGTTTTGATGAATTGTTTACAGGCAAATTAAGACCCTTGTGGACATATAACATACATTTCGCTAAATCATGTAATCTTATTTATAACATTGATAACTGCACTTATAAAAATAAATAATATATTTTGTGTTATAATGTTTGAAGTTAAGTTATTTGTTGTTTTATATTTTAGAGTTAAAATGTATTCAATTATAATTATATGGAATAATTTATTGAATATAGATTATTTGATTAAATTCAATCATTGTTTATTTTATTCACCCATTAAATCCTGCACTACTCAGTATAAGCTATTCTATCCTATGAATATTATTTTAGGAATCTCCTGAGATTTTTACATCTAGAAGTCCGTAAATATGAACCTCAATACTGATGTATGGTGTTGCAACTGTTCTCTGGTTTTAACAAGGCTCATGGCCAAAGCCAACATTTTTATGCAGCATAAACCTTATAATATTGTTTTTTTTTTTTTTTGTTTTTTCCCATTAAATTGGTAAATCATGTTTTACTATATAAACTTTTTATATTATGTAGAGTGTCCCGTAAGTTGGGGGAAATATTTATAGGAGTGATAGTAGACCTTAAGATCTACATAAAAGTTCATATAAACATCTGTTCGATTTTGGGCCAAAAAGTAGGAAATTCAAATTTTGTATTTTTTTAAATAAGTCATGTTTTTTGTTGAATAGGAAGCGATAACTAAAAAAAATACTTAATTTAAGTAATTGCCAAATGCTTCACCACAGTAAACTAGACAAAATTTACTTCATATGAAAGTTAAGTTAGTCATTGGTAAAACCATTTAAAGAGGACTTCTGAGGGGCTAAACTAAGCTAAATTCTGGTTTTAAATAACTCATAAATTATCCGCGATTTTTTTTTTTTTTTTTTTTTATCGTCCTCCAACTATACTACATTTACCTCACTTCTAGGAAAAAATCCTCATTTAATAAGCATTAAGTCCATATTAATTAAGTTGAGGTTTATTATGGAAAATTTGAGATTTTTGTTATAATTAATAAACTTTAGCTCTTCTTGCGTGCCATATGCTGCAGAATAAACCTTAGACTTATCCAGCTCCTATCTAATCTAATGGCGTTAAATCCAGAGATTGTGGTGGCCATTTAACAGGTCCGTTTCGACCAACCAACCGGTCTCCATAAGTAGCATTTAAATAATCAGTGACACTATTAGAAAAGTGAGCTAGAGCACCGTCATGCATAAACCACAGCCTTTGACTAATGCCTAGGGGAATATCTTCTAGGAGTTGATAAAGATTATTTTACAAAAACTGCAAGTAAGATATACCTGACAGCCTAGGTAGAAAAAAGAAGGGAGCAATGATGTTGTCGCTTAAAAGACCACACCAGATATTTAAAGAAAATGTATGTTGATGATGTCCAACAGCAGTCTTATGAGGGTTTTCTTCAGCCCAAGTATGGGTATTTCGAAAATTAAGAATCCCGTTTCTTGTAAAGTAAGATTTATCAGAAACCAAAATGCAGTTCAGGAATTTAGGATCTTGTTTGCATTGTTGAATGAACCACTGAGAGAAATTTCTGTGCTTGTTATAATCTTGTGTTAACAAATCTTGCCTACTCGATATGTGAAATGGATACAATTGTTGTTGGCGTAAAGTTTGCCATACGCTGGTGGAGGAAACATCGAAACCACGTAACAATCTTCTGGTGGTACTACTAGTAGGAGATAACTGAACAGCATCGAGTATTTCTTCTTCAGCATTTGAAGTTCGTCAAAATCTTTGTCGGCTGGCATTTACTCATATAGGTTTTAGTGTGCCATTATCCCCAAGGCATCTTTCAATGGCCTCAAACATTTTACAATTTGGTATTCTTCGGTTAGGAAATTTTTCACGATATCTTCGAACAGCAGCAGCACCATTTCTATGTACCTCGCCATAAGTTAAAAGTATGTCTGTTTGTAGATATTTCAACTATGGTAGATATTTTTACAATTTTGGCACGCTATGGCGGTTTTATCTTCCTTGGTAACAGCTACCTTACACAACGGACATGATGCCATTATGAACTGTTGAGTGCACCTGAAATGATTGGAATAATTGAGTGGAGAGTTGTGGGAGTATACAGCTAACATACTCTTATCATAGTCAGTCAAATATGGTATTAGTAATCCCTAGCTCGCTTCTTCTTTTGTAGTGACAGTAAATATTCTAATTCAAGATTCACTATTATTGCTGTTCATTGTTTATGCAGTAAATACTCCACTGATTAATTGTTAATAATATTATCAGTATTAATACTCACAAATTGGTGATGTAAGTGTTTAAAAGAAGGAAAAACACAGAACATACTCAGTAATTGACAGCCGGAGCCAGACTGAATGTATAATATGCAATATGCAATATAGATTTGCCGAATTGCATCTGAGTACACTGATTCCTAAAGATATTTCCTTAAGCATCTGTTTAAGAACTGTATGTAAAAAAAATATGCAGTAAATAAAAATCTGACTGCTCATAGCTCAAAACGCCAGCCATAAGTACATAGCTCACAATGTGTCTTTGAATAGACCTTTTTTCTGGGAGAACAGAAAAATGAATAGAAGACTGTGGAGGTGGTGGATGTTTAAAAAAATAAATAAATAAATTATTAATTCCACTTCACCTAATCATAGGCATTAATAGATCTCAAATAAAATATTTGATTACCTTTTTTTCTTTTAATTAATATAGAATTTAAAGGTCATGAATAAAAACTAATAGCAGTTAATACTATATTGAGAAAATAATATAAATCAAAATATATGCACAACCAAATAACATAAATTGAAAATATCTCCCTTGATGCAATTAAAAAATAATGCATAATTGAAAGGAACATAAAAATACCTTTTAAATCGAATTTACAAATTATACAGACCAAATTAATACCTTTGATAAAAATAAATTTATGATATTAATAAAAATAATTATAATTAAAGCAATGTATTTAATTGATAAATTTATTATTGAATACTTGATGGTTGACTGTTGTATATTATTGAATAAGGAGATAGTCCAGGATGGCGGTCATAATAAGACTAAGGGTCTGTTCTAACAAGCAGTGCTAAACTGTTTTCGCATGTGCATGTTTAAACAAGGCCCACACCAGGTTCTTCACAGTTAATCCGCTGTACCAACAAACAGTCCTGGACTGTTTAGCATGGGCAGTGCTGGTTAGGTGTTCCAACAAGCCCTGAACCAGGACAGGTAGTCATTTTCTTGGTTCGAAGCAGTCAACTTTTAGGAGAATGTACTAATAATCCCAGACATGCACAAAGGTTCTCACCCAAATTAAGGAGGTGGGGGTCAGACTACAACAGCGGCAAGTGTCAAATGTAAAAAATTATTAAGTGTGAAGTGACGCCTAAATCTGCTAAAAACTAAAATGAAGGTATGTAATTCTTAATTGCTTCTCTTCAAAATTAAATTTTTATTTTAATTAATAATTGTTAAAATTGGCTTTTCAAATTTATTATGAAGTTTGTAATGATTATGAATATTTAAGAAATAAAAATTCTCTTTTTATTTTTTTATTATCTTCATTTAACAGTAATGTTGATCTAAAGTGTTGAAATATAACAGATTTAAGACATGGTCCAGGTATTTAATGTAATGATCAGACTAAAAAAGTTGTGTCAAAGGCTAGACTTTGTAATGGCAGTTTTGAATAAAAGGGTAGAACAAAATATTTTTCAAAACTATTCACAACAGCACTACTAATGAAGTAATTAATTATATCTTTAGTAAATTACAAATTTTTAAAAATAAATTCTATCATTTAATGTGTAGTTTACACAGTGGCCGGGTTTTCACTAAACATTTTCTGATTGAGATTCATTACCGAAACTTCATTATTTTTAAATAAAGACAATTAATGAATGAAAATGAAAGATCTTTTTGCTCAAAGATTTAAGCTTTTAATCTTTAATTCAGATAAGAAAAATAATTATTATCTGACTTTATTTTAACATCTGACCTTTGTATCTGATTTCTTTTTCAGATGTATTGGTTGTTATATGGCTGCCACTATAAACAGAGCTTAAATGAAGAACAAACAGGACAATGAAGAAACCTAAGAAGAATATGGAACTAAAGATAAGTCCTACTGAAAAGATCAGACTGTCGTATGAAAAGACTGTCAATAAAAAATTGATTTTTTTTGGGGGGGGTATTCGAATTTTCCATACAACCTGGAATGAGTTGATTAGGGAGAGAAATAGGGATTATACCTTATGGGTTACTTGTGGTTCACAATCAATTCGGTCACACTTGTTCATGGAGTGCCGGATGCATCTGGGTTTATCCGAAAGACTGTTGTCAGCGTTTCATGAACTAGTGTGGCCGAAGTGATTGTGAAGCACGTGTAACCCATGCTGTCTTTACCTAAATAATTAAAAAAATGAGATATTGATAAAATCTAATTGTTTATGAATGGGGAAGGAGGAATAATTAATTTTTTTTGTTTTTAACTATTCTTGTATAATTTGGTCACTGATTTTTTGTTTTATGTATCCAGATCACTGAAGGATTTGTTTCTGATTTGTTTGTGTTTATCATGATTTAATAACCGTTTTCTATTTAGATTATGATGTATTATTTTTATTAATATATAGCTAATTTAGAGTCCTTCGGATTCTATTACCATGATTTTTATGCTTTCAGAAGTTTAGCTCTATAATTTTTTTGAAATTTAAGGAGGAACAAATATTTTGTATTTGTAGCTTTAATATGGTTTTCAGGTGTATTTTAAGTTGCTAAAATGTTTTTCAATTTTGTAATCATTTAACAGTTTCTCTGTTACTGTTTTCTAATAAAGATCATCAATAATCACCTAGCGTTATAATGTTTCATATATTTATTTTTGTTTTAAATATATTGTTATCTTTAAAATGGTTTATATTTGTTATGTAGTTTAAGATTACCTACTGAAAAAAATAATGTTCTTCAAAAGTGTAATTTTTTATCGTAGTTGAATTTAAAAAATAATAAAGTGTTAACTATCTTAATTTAAAGTTAATGTAGTTAACAATCTTTAATTTATTTAAAAATCAAGTAATCATTGCCTCCATTTTACCTCTGATTTCCTCATTTCCCATATCAGGATTTAATGCTAATTATTTTCTCAGTGGTTCTGCGCATGCGTTAGCCTTAGTTAAACATACATCAGGTTGTCTCTTATAAAATTCACTATTAATAGTGACAGTATTCAAGTTCAATGTGAAATAATAGTGTTATCAGTTACATTAACAATTAAGTTTGATAAGGAACACAAAAATTAGGTGAGTAATCACTTATTTACAGCTCAAGAGTGAACAGTGTAAATAGTCTTCAGGTTAGTTATTGATTACGGCCGGACATACACATTGGTAATCCCACTAGTGGGCTGCAACCCTCCGTCGGAGGAAGGCCTGTGCTAATCAGTCCTCTCCAAGCACGCGCATATATTTTCGTGTATAATACATATACTTTTTCTCGCTTCTCTTTTACCAATTTTTACTTTCAATTTTAATATGAAATGCTTTATTATCACGTGCTAATGTCGAGCAAGGGCAAAAACATTAGGTCCAGGAGCCTCGATACTACAAGAAGTTCTCCTATTAATAAAAAGGAGAAGGCGTTTGAAAAGAAACACCCCACCAGCCACACCAGGGAGCTCCATTAAACAAGTGGAACGCCAACCTGGCTCCTCACAACAACACAACAATAATGAGACAACTCAGGCTGGTGAAGAATTGCCGTTTTTCACTCTTAACCCATTTCAAGTGCTATCAAAAACACAAAACGAACAAATGGAAGCCGCATCAACCCCCAAAGAGCCCAAACCCCCACCAATATTCGTTAGGAATATTAAAAATTTTCAGTTAATGTGCCATCAATTGAATAACCTAGTGGGCTCAGGAAAATATTTATGCCAAAGCCGCACCAATGAAATTAAATTAATGCCTGACACTCCAGAAACCTATAGAAAAATTATATGATATTTATCTGACACCAAGGCTGATTATCACACATATCAACTGCGTCAAGAGAGGGCGCTCAAGTTTGTTATCAGAAGACTGCACCCATCAACGCCAACAGATGCTATAAAAGAAGAGCTCATGGGTATGGGATTCTATGTTCGACAGATAGTGAACATATTCAAGGAAGATAAAGAACAGCCTGGCATAAAAAATAAAATATCGCTTCTACTATTCTTCGTTGACCTTGACCGAACACCCCAGGTCAAAGACATCTACAAGGTCAAATGCCACTAGTGTTGTAGAAAAGCCTTACACCAAGGGCGACATCGCTCAATGCCATAACTGCCAGGCATATGGCCATACAAGGTGGTATTGCCAACACATTCCTAGATGTGTGAGGTGTGGTGAGCAGCACAAAACAGAGGACTGCAAGAAGTCTAGAAAATCACCTGCAGTATGCGCTTTATGCCACCAAGAGCACCCAGCCAACTATAAGGGTTGTCAAACATATAAATAAATAAAAACAAGAATGTACGCAACTCCTAGAGAAGAAGGGACATCCAGGCCACCAAGACAACCCTCTAGAACAGTGAACAGAAGAGTGTCCTATGCTCAGATGTTCAAAGGAGACACTGTAAACACGCAATCTCAGGCCCTGGCACAAGAACCTCAACCTCAAGAATTCACACATCAACCTCAAGACCCATATCCCTCTATTCCTGAACCTAGGTTCAATACCCAGGCATTCATTCCTCCTTCCAATTCCACTGACCTCACAAGCCTATTGGAATCTTTCCTCTCTGAATTTAGATCTCTCATCACCCCTCTTATTTCATACTTACCAATGTTATATCCAGCATCATTCCACCACTAAGAAATCCATAAATGTCCTCAACCAAATCACTTTCCATTCTCCTATGGAATTCGAAATCGCATAAACGAACTGACAATCTTATTACATGACAAAAATATCGACATAGAACTAATAACTGAAACCCGACTAACCAACAAAGGACAAATCAATGTTCCCAGCTACAATATTTATAGAACCGATCATCCTGATGGAACACCACATGTTGGCACTGCCATAATTATCCATCGATCTCTTTGCCATCATTTCTTTCCCTTACCGACCCATAATTTACTACAGTCCACTGCCGTAATAAGTCAAGCTTCCCTTTACCCAATAACATTAGTTGCGCCATATTCCCTGCCTAAAATACCCATTTCCAAATCCCAAATAATTTCCTTCCTGAATTCTTTAGGACACCACTTCCTCCTAGGTGCAGATTTAAAAGCAAAACACCAGCAATGGGGAGCCAGATCCACAAATTCCCAAGGACGAACATTGCTGATCCAGCAAGCTATGTGCTGAACTGCATTCTCACCTAATCGTCCCAAAAAACCCCATATTATAAATCCTCTACCCCAAGACCTATTGGACCTTATCCATCGCAAACAATGCTCTGGCATAGAATCAGGCATCCAGATGACCGGAAATCGTATAATTATTATTCCAAACAGGTAAAAAAGAAACTGGATACCTTTAGAACCCAATCCTACTATTCCTACCTTTCCTCATTATCTGCAAATGACAACTCCCTCTGGAATATAACTAAAAAAATTCTTAAATTCCAGTCCATTTCCCACCCCGTCTGCCGTGATGATGGTTCCTGGGCTTCGTCAGTTGTGAATAGTGCTGAAGAGTTTGCTAAACATATATCCTACACATTCACTCCTCATCCCGAACTCCATTCCACCCACACTCCTGAAGTTACAGAATTCCTCTCTTCACCAATTCCGCTCTTTCTACCTCCAAAACCTGTTAACCTCTCTGAGGTCAAATTCCTTATAAACAAATTAAAACCACGAAAATCTGCTGGATATGATCTCACTTCACAAATACTTAGACAACTTCCCAAAAAAGCAATTATATCCCTGACCTATCTATACAATTGCATCCTCATACAACCAACTTTCCTTTTGTGTGTAAACACTCTATAATTGTTTTGTTCCCAAAACCAGGTAAACCTGTTAATAACACATCATCCTATAGACCGATAAGCTTACTCCCGATCCTCTCAAAAATCTTTGAGAAAATCCTTCTCAAATGCATTCTACCCATACTCGAATCCCACAACATCCCTTCTCATCAGTTTGGATTCCGCTCAAGACTCTGACAAAAAAAAAAAAGATAATAAAATAAGTTTTAGTAAATATAATTTTCTATCTGAATTTTACTTGTTGGGCCCCTGGCTTTACCAGCCTTTCGTCTCTAAAGAGATAAATCGCACTATAAAATTGTACAGGTGCTCATCTGTTTTGAGTTGCTAACTCATTCATATAAATAACCAGGTGATTCTTGAAGTTTTTGGAGGGGGTAAATTTAAATCTATAGGAGTGGTAAGTTTAAGCATAAAAGGGTTGATCATATATTTTTAATAGTTGATGATACAAATCATTGTAAAATAAAGCGTCTATTAGGGCTTAATGGGTGCTTAAAATTTTTTATTCTTTATATTGTATTGAGTTTTAATACAGCCTGCCTCACTGAAGGGCATTGGTAGTAGGGCTATAGTATTCATTCACACAATGTGTACATAAGAAATGAAAATAAATAAAAGTAAGAAAAAGAAAAAAAATATATATATATATATAAATAAAAAGATAAAGTAATGTATAAACAAGATATACAAGATAAGTAAAATAACAGAATAAAGCCGAATGATAATAAAATAAATAAAACAAACTCACAACTATGTACATTGGCCCAGGGGACTCAGAATCAAACTTTGATCCCAGTGCTTCTCTCCCAGCCGCGTCACTGGTATTGTAAGCCAGTGGAGACTGACAGAGGATTGTCTTGTAGATTAATAGTTTGACTGAAAGTTGACATTTTCTATTGATTAGTCTATATAGTTGGCCATATCGTCGGTTAAGCTGTTGTCTTTTAAGTCTGGTATGTGGGTTCCATGTTAGTCTTTTGTCTAGAAGATAAAGTCTATAAGATACCGAACTGCGTCGGAGAGGTGAATTGGTATGGAGTTGAAATAAACTGGTGAACAGGACTTGCTCCGAAGGGTGAAGGTGGTGTGTTTGGATTTGGATTCATTTACTTGGATGCGCCACTTATTACATGAGTGTTCAATAAGAGAAATGTGACTTTGTAGGTT